AGCACCAACTCCTCTGACAGCCACCAAGCCCCAGGGCTGCCACAGGGCGAGTGACGGGCAGGCCCAGGCCCCGCGCAGGGGGTGTTGCTGGGGCCAGGCCAGCATGAACTTCACCAAACAGTTTGCAGCGGTTAAATTTAGACAAGTTGTGTCAGCGTGACCTTTGCTCAGGCCCAGTTTGGAAACCACCTTGCAGCCAGTAACGCAAGCAGTGCCAGAGGACATCCCATCTCCAGCGCTGAGTCACCGCCGGAAAAACCCTCGATCAGTCCCCAGCCGGGGCTGAGCAATGACCAGGCCTTCCAGTTTCAAAACGACTGTGCGTCAATCAGCTGATGGGGAGGGCTGAGCAATTCCAGGGCGCTGGAAACCCCACCAGAAACGCTGGAGGCGTTTTGGGGAAGGAGGAAGCTTCCGGGCCACAGCTGGAGCAGGCAGGGCAGGCACTGACCGGCAACACCAGACCAGGGGGGGCTGTTTTCTGGGGGATGCCATGTGGGGCAGGCAGTATTTTCCCCCTGACTCTTCCCTTTGGAGGCTCTCAGCCAGGACCCACAGCGCTGGCTCTCCGCTGAGGGGACGGTGTGACACGCGTAGTGCAGCTTTGGCTGCACCGGGGACACTTCGTGCTCCAACCTCACACCCGCTGAAGCTGGCATGGCGGCAAGCGGCAGGCGGACAGGTCTCAGCAGATTTGGCAAAAGCAGTTGGAAGAGCAAGGTGCAGCTTCCCGGCAGCATCGCCAGAGCCCAGGGAGCCGGGGAGGAGAAGGAAGAGGAAACAACCGCTTGTAACGCACAAGGAGGCGGCGAGGAAGTGATTTCAGGGACTGTGCCTCCTTCTGTGCCAAGTCAGCACTGACACGGGCAAGGATCACGCGCAAAGTCAGCAGAACTGCCCTGAGACCCAGGGCCGGCGTTCCTTCACCCCGCGTGGAGGAAGCCGCCAGGCAGGAGCACTCTGCCCCAGCAGGGAGCCGGCGAGGCGAGGGGCTGGCTGCGGAGGAGAAGGATACACGTGGTTGCAGGAGAGGCGGTAGGTGTTCTCGATGATCCCCTCCTCATTGACGTCCACGAAGATCTGCTGGCCGCAGACTGCACAGACGCTGTCGGAGAGGTGCTTGGTGGGCATCCCCGAGGCGCTGTAGAACTGAGCGAGGGCAGAGCAGAGGGAGAGCGGTGACAGCGGGAGGGCATGCGTCCCACAGCCACGTTGGCACAGCTAAGCTTTAAGGAGGGCTGGGGTCAGTACCCAAGGAGTCCAGCCTCGGCCTTTTGGGCTTAAAAACCTTGTTACAGGTCCGGCTGTGGGAAACAACTACAACAGGACAGGGAGCTGCTCAGTGACATGGTGGCCCATCACACCCCAGTCCCACACACACCCCCCTCCGTGCCAGGGACCACCCCCCTTCGCTCCCCAGCAGCTGAGTGAGTTGCCGCCGCCTGGCCGACACTGGGGCAGCCACACCGGGCAGCAAGGGCAGAGGCTGGGGGCAAGAGCAGGACAAGCTGGAGGTCACAGCTTTGACCCAAGATGACAACCTTGGGCTGGCAGTCAAATATGGCCCAAGGCGTCGAATACAGCCCGAGCCTCCAGCTCCACAGGTCCCTGAAGCTCAGACAGCCAAAAAAAAAAATCAAAGCACAGAGCAGCTGCCCCCCAGCATTTCCAAGCCTGTTGGCTCAGCACCGGCCGGACGCAGTACGCGGGAGGGTGCGGGCACACAACCAGGTCTCCCTGCACACAGCTCTAGTCCCATACGCTCCAGGGACAGCCACAAGGCCCGAGTCATTTATTCTGTGTCCCGGCTCCCATGGACTATCACAGACTATCTCAAGCTGAAAGGGGCCCATAAGGATCATTGAGTCCAACTCCCTGCTCCTCGCAGGGCTGCCTAAAACTAAACCAGGTTTAGATTTGATATTAGGAAAAATTTCTTCACTGAGAGAGTGGTCAGGCATTGGCACAGGCTGCCCAGGGAGGTGGTGGAGTCACCATCTCTGGAAGTGTTCAAAAAACGTGTGGATGTGGCACTTCAGGACATGGTCTAGGGGACATGGTGGCGCTGGATTAATGGTTGGACTTGATGATCTTGAAGGTCCTTTCCAACCTTAGTGATTCTGTGATTCTGTGTGATTCAGATGACTATGAGCATTGTCCAGACTCTCCTTGAACGCTGACAGGCTTGGTGCCATGATCACTGCCCTGGGGTGCCTGTTCCAGGGACCGCCCACCCTCTCAGTGAAGACGCTTTTCCTAATGTCCAGCCTGAACTTCCCCTGACAGAGCTTCATCCCATTCCCTCGTGTCCTGTGGTGGGTCAGCATGGAGAGGAGATCAGCACCTCCCCCTCCGTTGCCCCCCCTGAGGAAGGTGTAGAGTGCGATGAGGGCACCCCTCAGCAGTGAGGTCACACCTCAGCAGTGAGGTCACCCTCAGCCTTCTCTTCTCCACGCTGAACAAGCCAAGTGACCTCAGCCTCAGCCTTGCCCTCGAGGCCTTTCACCACCTTGGTCGCCCCCCTCTGGACACACTCTCGCAGGCTGATGCTCTCCTTATCCCGAGGCGCCCACAACTGCACACAGCACTCGCTGCGGGGCCGCACCAGTGTGGTGCAGAGTGGGACCATCACCTCCCTCGACCGGCTCGCCGTGCTGTGCCTGATACACCCCATGCCACAGCTGGCCCTTTGGGCTGCCAGGGTTCACTTGACTTGTATTCAACCTGCCACCAACCCAAACCCCCAGATGTCTTTCCATGGGGCCTCTCTCCAGCCTCTCGCCCCCCGATTTGTACATATAACCAGGATTACCCATCCCAGGTGGAGAATCCAGCACTTGCTCTCATTAGATTTCATACAGTTGGTGATTGCCCAGCGCTCTAGTCTATCCAGATTTCTCTGTACGGCCTCTCTACCCTCGCAGGAGTCCACAGCTCCTCCTAGCTTAGTATCATTGGCAAAACAAATCTCCGGTGAAGACCTGGCACAGCTTTGCTCCAAGCATCTGACAGAGCCCTTGGGCTGCAGTGCCAGCTGGCGGCAGCATCCTCTGGGCAGCTCTGTAGCCAGGCCAGACCCCCGGGGAGCGCCTGGGCTGCTGCAGGCCTGTCCTGGGTGCCCACCGCCTACGTGGCAGGAGACCCAAAGCGCCCCGTGCGGTTTGGAGAGGGGCTGGGGCTCCCCAGTTCTGCCAGGCAGAACATCCAAGGAGCAGCAGCAGCAGCAAGCTCGGAGAGGAGGAGAAGGAAGAAAACAAAGCCCAAGACCCTAAAGAGCTGCCGCAAGGAAGTGACATGACCTACTCCACCAGTATCCTAGGTCACGTATTTTTTGGTGGAGCAGGGTTTTTGGTACCAGGTGAGCAGGCTACAGATTTTAGGCCACCACTGCAGGCATGCAGGAACACCCCCTCTGCCCACAGGTCAGCCCATGCTGCAGTGAGTACGAGCAGCAGAAGGAAGCCCATGGTGTGAATCCTTCCCTGGTGGCTGCAGGTCATGAGCTGAAGCACCCACAGTGTGGTCCCAGAAACAGAAGCGCTCTTCAGCACTGGAGGTTTTCAAGGCCCAGGTAGAGAAGTATTTGTCAGGAGTGTAGAGGGGCTGATGAGACCCTTCAGCTCCTCATTTCTTGTGCTTCTGGGGATGAGGGGACACCTGCAGAGCCTTTGCTCTCAAGGAGGGATCTCTGAGCAGCTCTGCTACCTCAGAAACCTCCCAGCCCAGACACCATGGTAGTGGGCCCAGAGAGAGCACGATGAGAACAGCAGCAGACTCAGGGAGCCCTTCCTCAAGGGGGGAGCTCGATGCACTTGCCCGTGGGGGGAGGCAAAAGCTACTGACTGACCATTTCAGGGCTCCCCATCAGCGGAGCAGGGCTCTCGCCCAGGGCACGGCACAGCGTTAACTCACCCCAACCGTCGAGGCCATGTAATCCGCACACATCTCGGCGAAGTCTCGCTCCAGCACCCCGTAGTAAAGACCGTAGAAGAGGAGGGAGATGCCAAAGTCCATTGCATCTTCTGGTTTGATTCTACAACAGAAGAGCCCAAACGACATCAAGAGCTTTTTTGGGGGGCTACGGGGATTCAAAGCCAGCGTGCCAACACAGCCCACAGCACCACACCCATCACAAGAGCGGTGCCCCAAGGCAGTGGACACATGTCACTGAGAAGCATCGCCCACAGAGGTCTTCCAGGTGCCAGCCCAGCACAACCCCAGTCCCTGCTCCTGGGGCACTTCACCCGGGCTGTCACCAAGCAGCAGTGTAATGGAGATGTGGGTGCTACGCCCCAGCTGGCTAATTCCTTCTGCCCATCACCCTCACCAGCTGCTGGAACGAGCAACTGCAGTCATCCCGCCAACTCTCTCAGGCACCAGATCAGCTCCCACTAAGCCACCAGCCAACACTTCCACGTCTCGGCAGGCAGTTGCCAGGTCTGGTCATCACTCTAGAGAAGGAATCCGCCTCTCTAAACACGAAGACGGCTTGGACTAAGGCCCTCTGCTACCGCACCTGGGCCGGCTGCTTGTTGCAGACACCTCTTTAACAGGGCAGCAAAGAAAATGCCACTGCTGCCCCCAGGCTGGGCAGGCGCAGAGCTGGAGGCACTGCCAACACAGCTGAGCTGGCAGCAGGATGACCAGCGCAGGTACCAGCACCTCACCTGTGATCCTCCCAGCAGGGAGAGGACACCCCAAGAGTCTCTTTGGCCCCATTAATCACAGAATCATTAAGGTTGGAAAAGACCTTTAAGATCATCAAGGCCAACCACCAACCCAACACCACCATGCCCACTAAATCGTGTCCTGAAGTGCCACGTCTACACAGTTTTTGAACACTTCCAGTGATGGTGACTCCACCACGTGCCTGGGCAACCTGTTCCAATGCTTGACCACTCTCTCTGTAAAGAAATTTTTCCTAATATCCAATCTAAACCTCCCCTGGTACAACTTGAGGCCATTTCCTCTTGTCCTATCACTGGTTACTTGGGAGAAGAGACCAACACCCACCTCACCACAACCCCCTTTCAGCCAGTTATAGAGAGCGATGAGGTCTCCCCTCAGCCTCTTCTTCAGACTGAACAAACCCAGCTCCCTCAGCCGCTCCTCATCAGACTTGTGCTCCAGATCCCTCCCCAGCTCCGTTGCCCTTCTCTGGACACACTCCAGCACCTCAATGTCCTTCTTGTAGTGAGGGGCCCAACACTGAACACAGGATTCGAGGTGCAGCCTAACCATTAGATTGCCAAGACAACTGTTTCTCTAGAATCACAGCCAACACCTTATTCCATGTGGTGTGTTACATACCCCGCCCCACAAGCTGGACCCGAAAGGTTCACTCACCTGAATAATAAGTTAAGACCAAAGAGTGTAAACATCACAGCCATGTACCCTACGATTCCAGTGGCATAGCTGATCTTGTATATTAGTAGAAACCATTTATAAACCAGCCTGTAAAGAATTAAAACGAGAATTTAACAGCTTCATTTTTCCTGAATGAAGGAAGCACCTAAAGAGTTTTACTTTTCAAACCTGGACAGTGCTGTCAGCAGACACTTCACCTACCCATACGCATGGGCAACAGAGCTTTAAATTTCTATGTCAAGCTACAGATCCGCCACCACCACGGGCCGCTCACGATCTTGACTTCCAAACTAGAAACCTCAGGATCCCCAAAGGCCGTAAGCAAGCGTGCTTTCCGCCAACAATGCACTTGGTGAGGCTACCAGCCCAAGCAGTATCTGCCTCTCCACCGCCCGCGCAGGCACCACGTGCACTGGGTTGGCTGCCAGCAGCCGGTTACGACCGAGGCAGGCAGCACGGGCAGGGGTTGCACACCCCCAGGGTGCAGAGTTTAAGACAATGCCTTGTGGCAGCGACACTGCAAAGAGCTCCTTGTAACGGTTCCCCTGGGGCTGAGGAGTTTCCCCAGGAACACATGTACTAACCTGGGTGTTGTCTGTCCCAGAGGTTTTCGAGTTGCCCTGAAGGTGACAAAAGCTGTGACTGCTGAGAAGAGCACCCAGATTACCAGGAACCGCCACCAGTACAACTTGATCGTGAAATACAGAGGCACTACCCACATCTGGAAGAGGGTGACCATCTGCAGGAACAGAGGAAAGGCATTTTGAGCTGGTTCTCTGCTCATCAGACATCAGAAACACCCTGCCAGTCCTGGCAGCCGTTCTGCTGCCTGCATCAAAGGGCTCTGAATAGCACCAGGGAACAGGCCAACAGGTTGGGTTTAAAGTTCATGGAGGATTACAGGTATTGCCTGGAAGCATTAGTTATGATAAGGAAGTCGGAGTGAGGTTGGTTCAGGTAAAAAAACAGCCCCTGACATGCCAGTGGCATCAGCAAGTGGCAGGTCTGCTCAGCAGCCCCGAGATCTGCTTGTCCCATCACCTGGTGTCAAAGCACTGTCTAAAACCACGTTATTGGCATCACTTAGAACAGAAACTTAATGCTTGCAGTCGCATCCATTCTCATCCCTAGCCAGAATCCCCATACGCTGTTGGGAAGACAAGGGTATCTCAACACCAGGCAAGAGGAGGAAAACAGGAAGATGCTTCTCATCAGCTCAAGAACGGTGTCACTCAGCACTCGCATCCAGCCTCGGAGACAAAACGGCTGCATGGGAGACACTTACGTTGTAGGAGCGAGGGTGCCTCTGTTTCCACTGAACCAACAGGAGCTGTGCCACCACTAGCGTGGCGATAAGGATGAGGACCATTTCAGCATGCATAGCCTCGTGACCACGGTGCTTGGCATGCATCCGTGCATGCTCCACCCTGCAACAACAGGGAAAAGGCGGCTGGAGAGCATGCGGGCACAGACCGCATGCTAACAGCGCGGCGAGGCTGACAGACACCTCAGCACGGCGGAGCCAGGAACTCCAGAACAAGAGACAGCACGAAGGAGCATTGAGGAAATTGGCGCTGTGTTGCAATCGGGAGGAAGGACAAAAGGCTTCTCTGAAACTAGCTCATTCTTCAAATGTGAAAGTCAAGACTGTCATCCAGCCCATCCTGCTGTGAACGAGGCAGACAGAACCCACGCTGACATACCTGAGCTAACGAATGTGGAGTGCACGTTTCACGTAACTCACCCAGCAGCTCACCAGTGCAACAGTGTCAGCTGAGCGGCTGTTTGACACCACGAGTGTGCACTGACTCTCAATACCAAACCCTCAGCCCAGTTTCAGAGCCACCAGCACTGTTCTCCCTCTCACCCAGCAAGGGGAAGGCTGGATGGGCAGAGGGGGCATGGTCTACAGCCAGCAAAACCCACAAACCCCAGCAAACCGCTTCCCTCTGCCCTGGGCAACCCCATTTGCATCCTGGAACGAGAGATTTCCAGACTGCTGCTCTACAGACACCTGGGGTTTCTTTGCAGCTTGTCCCATTGGCCAAAAACAAAGGCAGAATTAAGACCTTAATCTCCGTCTCAAGCTGACAAGACAGTTCAGGTTAGGGGGGGGAAAAAAAATCCAAATCCAACAAATATGCCAAATTCTCTGATCTTAAGTCATCCTCTATGAATTAATACCGAGAGAAGACCAGTCTTACTGTGCTTTTCAACAAGTGTCTGGCTGAAATTGGTGAATTTGGTTAAGGGAAAAGAAGGAATAATGAACAAGCAGTTCAACAGAAAAACATTAGTAGTGCCTTTTAAGACGGTTCATAGCTCCTCCTAACAAATAACGGTGCGCAGGGAAGGCTGACCCTGCCCTCTCCCAGCAAGAATACAGGCTGCACTGCTGGTAGCTCCGGCCTGGAGCAGGAGCTCAGTCAAGCTGTAAGCACCAGTTCACCTCACAACACAGACTCACCTCCATCTCTCCTCTGGGGACAAGTGCGAAAGATCGACCTAAGGAGAAAGAAAAAAAAAAAAACAAAAAAAACAAAGAAATCAGCAGCTGAAGTTTGAGAGCAGCAGTACCAGCCTAGAACAGATAACTTATTTACTTCAGCTCCCCAGACAGCACAGGTGCTACTTTATGCCCCACATGAGCAAGGCTGTGCTGTGTCTACACAGCCTGTTCACCGCGAGCAGCACTGACACGGCACCCGGCGCCTTTATCTCCTGCTGAGACCCGAGCAGTGCCAACGGCAGCAGCGGAGTCAACTGCAAAGCCGTGCCGTGAGACCCCGGGATCGCTCTGTGCGGAACACGTCTGCAATACAGGGCAGACTTTAAGAAGGAAAACCCTGGATTCGGAAGCTTTAAGCAACAAACCCTTGACGTGCATGGGCAGAGCTGTCCTTCGACCCTCCAGGCAGCACAGGGAGAGCTGCAGAGTCCCCCTGCTCCTCCATCACCCGCAAGTACCTTTCCCCTTACACTCCCGTATTTGACTGCAGCCAAGGCTCTGCCCACCAACCCCGACTATACCTAGCAGCGTGGTTTAAGTGCTTTAATTGCTTTAAGTCCCACGTTCACAACCCAGTCAGGCGTCTCTGGGCACAGAGGGGTGATCCCAGTGCACGTTGGAAACAGGACAGAGGAGGGAGGCCAAAATCCCACCAGTCTGCAGGACAGGGGATGGTGTCTGCACACCAGTAACAAGCCATCACCCAAGATTTTTTTTGAAAGAATCAGGGAAAAAGAAAGATTTAGGACTTGCTTTGCTGACATATCTGGAAGTTTCTCCCAAGTGTTACAGGCAGCAATGTTTTTGCCAGACGGGAGCAACTGAGAGTGACAGGAGTTGCCGTTACTAGTGACGAGAGATGATGGGCTGGCGTAATCCATGCTTAACGCAAGCTGAAACTGCCAGGCTGGACGCACGGAGTTACAGAGATCCTCCATCTGACAGGTTTAGGGGACATAAGCCCGGAAGGAGGATCCTGGGAGCTACAG